TGTAGGGTCAACTCCAAAGCCTGTCTTCGCTAGGACTACCTTCCTCCCCTGAGACAGAGCTGAAAGAGGCCCAGCCAGGTGGCCAGAGGCAACTTGCGGAATTCCAGGATACCGGCTTGGCCTGAAAACACAGGGTGCCCTGCAGAAGTCCGGGGTCCTGATGAGCAGGAGGTCTGCGAAAAGGGAGTGGTGGCATGTGACCATATCCTGTCCACGGTGTCTCCTCACGTGTGCGTGTGTGCTCTCTATCAGAAATAAAATACATTTTAAAAAATTTAAAAGTGAAACAAAGAGATAAAAAGAATGAAAAGAGAAAAAAAGAGAAGGGTGTATGTTTTCTGGTTAGTATGTATGCATTTCTTTCCAAAGCTCAGGAACTTTCGAAGCCCTGTAAGCATTATGGTAATTTCTAGAGTGACGACAGTTATATTAACATCTTCTACGGCTCACAGCTTTTCCGCAGACAGGCCCATTTATCTTCATAGGCTTTTATTATAAAAGGTATTTACATATTATACATATTTACAATTCTCTCCCACCACCAAAACCAACAAAATTTCCACACGCGTTGCTCATGAATTTCTTAGGAACTAAAGACACTGAAATAGTCACTGTGCTTTCCTCACTTGTTTCAGTCGGTTTGTTTTGTAATTTATCCTTCTGATTAGCTCTTCCCTGGGCTCATTTACACATCCATGGGCCTCATCACTTTTGCTGTTCTAAAGAGCCTTTATCGCTTCAAATCGTGAGCATGCCTGTCCCTCCTTTCCTTTGAGCCCAATCTCCTTAAACTTTTAGAAGATTTTTTTAATTTTACTTTATTATTATTATTTTTTTTTACCCCATGTCATTCTTTTCAAAAAACACACAAAAACTCATTTCAAGAATGTTGCTGTCTGCTGAGTGTTTGCCCTTTGTGCTAGGTGCTGGGACCAGGAAAGAGGACCAGCTATGAACAATGGCTGTGCAAATGACAAAAGCCAATGCCATGCTGGGCAAAGACTGAATGGGATGGGAGGGGCTTCAGTCATGCTACTTCCCTACCACTGGGGAATCCAGGCCAGCTTTTGGAGCCCCTGCTCAAGGAAGAGGCCACCTCACTAGACTCACTAAAATCAAGTATGGGCCAAGGCTTTGTGACTGGTGGGGATGGGCACAGAAAGTGGAGATGAGGCAGAGACAGCAGGAACTGCTACTGCTTGGAGCTCAGCAAGGTTTCCTACTAAGTTCTACCATTAAGTCAGCCCTGGGATGGAGGACAAGCCTTGGTCATCCTCACTGTTCCGTTCCTTATATATTAAAATAAAGAAATAAGTGAAAGAAA